TAGTGTTTTGGTAGCCAAAAAATAGTGAGAAGCCAAAAAAAAAAAAAAAAAAATTTCCTGCGTTTAAGTAAATGTTGGTGACCAAAATGGAAAAACAGAGAGGCCTTGTGTTTGACAAAAAATGCAAGTAAAAACAGTAGCTATTTGGGACTTTTCCATGGGCATCTCGTGTTTTTTAAGTGATTTTCCTGCATTTTTAGTAAATGCAGGGAAATAGAAATTTATACTAGTGTTTGAATAAAATGTAGGTATGGTTTTAGCTGCTCCACTAGTACCAGCATTTGTGTGGCGTTTATGCATGGTAACTCTTTTACCTACATTTAAAAATGCAGGTAAATCCTTTAACAAATGTAGGCAATAAGTCTTTTTCTTATAGTGATCTTAAGGGAGTTGTTGGAGAGATTAGAAGTACCCAGAGGATATTGAGAGAGGTTTTCTTATATCATAACTCTTTTCTCTTAATTTTTTTTAACTAATAAATTTCTTATTTTACTCTGTAGTTTTTCCCTATTAAGGGTCTTTCATGTTAAATTTATGTTTTATTCTTTTTCTTATTTTGCTTTATCATTATTCACTTGTACAATTCTTTAGTGAGTCAAAGCCAACAATTGGTATCATGGTATGAAGAGCAAATTTTATTCCCAATGGTGGCATTTGAGATCAAAGGGGGAATTCTTAATTCCCAACATACCTAACCTAGATAGCAAGGAGGTAGCTTTGGCACTTCAGAATGGATTGTTAGACTCACCTTTCTACAGATCTCTGGTTAAAAACCCCACTAGTAGATTACCAAAACTTGCTGCGGAGGGCATGGAAGTACATTTAAGTTAGAGCAGAGATAATAAAAGGTCCTAGTCTTTTCCCTTCTAACAGTCAAAAAACAACTGGCTATTCCCAGCCATAAGACCAAATCTAACTGCTATTGTAATAGAGCCGTTGGTTACTTAATTGCCATTTTTATCCGCTTAACAACTTAACCCTAGGGATGGCAACGGGTCCCCACGGGGGCAGGGACCCTCTCCCCATCCCCATCCCCATCAATGACGAGTACGGGGACTCCACGGGAATTTTTGGTGGAGGATAAAAAATAGCCTCCATCTCCATACCCGCGGGGAATGATGGGTCCCCGCGGGTTTCGGAGTCCCCACCAAATAAAACTTGATGCTCGTTTCTTGTTTGAGAAATTAACTGAAGATAGAATGAATTAAGAGCTTGAATGAGCTTCAAAACAACAATACGATTATCGTTTACTGCAAATACAAGAAAGAAGCTGCGTAGGCATGTAAACAATGAAAATCACATTTTGACAATCTTGTGAACAATCGAAGGGAAAATGAAATCGGAAATAATAAGGCCAAAAGAATGAGATCTACTTCACCTCAAAATAAATCATCAAGCACAGATACTTAGACACTCATAAATACTCACAATTCAGGCTCAGGCAAGCTGCAAGTAGTTAATTGAAGAATAGAAACAGAGCTATGGGCACTACCTTTCGAAGGTTACCGAGAATGATAGGTTGAAGGGAATTGACCAATTGAAGAACAAAAACAAAGCCAATGAGCTACAGCACAGAGGAGAGGAGACTGGAGTCTAGAGATGAGGAATCGCAGAGCAGATTCACAAATCTCAGAAATTTGAAATAGTCTTTCTAGTTCTAGGGTTACTAGGCAAATTGGGTTGGGCTTGGGCAATTAGGTTTAAGAAGATTATGGGTTGAACTGGACTATATAATTGAGTTTGGAAAAACTGAAAAAAAAAGAAAAAGGATTGGTCAATTAATTAGGTTGAGTAAATAAAAATTAATTGTTAATATATTTAAAAATATATATATAT